AAACCGAGAAATACTCTGTAGACATTCTGTGGTGCAATTCCAAACTTCTTCGCAAGCATTTTGCTCACAGCAAATTGATTGCACCAATAAAATATTGAATAAAAAAGAGAAATATGCTCTTGCACACGTCAACTAAAGCAACTCTAGTTGAACGAGCAACGATGCGAAAGTGAACGCTAAACGCATAAGAATTTATCCAATTCGGGAATGTTCAACGAATGAAGTATTCGATATGAAGTGAAGTAGTTTATTGGATGCGGAATCACGTATTCGTATGTGGGTGTAATTGAGTGGACGAATGACAATTTCATGTGCTTTCTGTGAATGTCCCTCCTTAGGAGTTTGTTTCAAGTCTGACTAGACTGCGCTAAATGGCTGCAAATAATCTCAGCAAATTCATGCTCCTCACAATCAATCTCACTCTCCTTGAACTGCTCGTAAAACAATGAAAATGCATTGAGTGAATCAGCAGTTGATCAAATTTAGTGCACGAGATAAAAATCAAATTAGGTGGAGTAATTCGCTGGAACAATGCACACAAATCAACTCATAAATAATTTATTGATTGTTTTTAACCCATTTGCGAGGTTGTAATAAAGCTTGAGGGATGAGTGACGAGTGATCGATGAACGTCATTAATTGGAAAGGTGATGAAAATCCGACAACGGGAAACACTCGCATGATATATGGAATGATTGTAAGATGTCGGACGGACATATACATAAACGATGATGAGCAACGCTATTGCTAACGACAACATCGAATATGTATATTTTTTGCATCAACGACAACAAATAATATTAAAGAGGCAGAACAAATATTCGGCCAAATGTGGTGATTAATGTGAGGTGTAATTTTACTGAAGCAAATTTACTGACCGATAACCGCAAAATACCATCCAAAACTGTTCGTAAATTTTCCAGAAGCTTAACTGTTTGCTTTATACGCAAAAAGAATTCGTTGCTGATCCATTGAACTAATGATGCATGTCATTAAGCTTAAGACACTAATGTGCTAGCACTGTTCATCGTGAACGGTTAAATCTCTCCAAGCTATCAGCTCTTTCAGAGGCGTCTGCTTATAATTACGCTTAATCATTAATTCTTTATACAGAACTATTGCGCTTTTTGAATCGTATTCATAATTTTTGATTCATGCTTAAAGTGTGCAAAAAAAGAATGCTAATTTCTGTAAGAGATTACGGATGCATGCAGTTTACAGTAGTAGTGTCGTGCTTCAACCGAAATCGCTACAATACGAACAAGCAGCCGTATTGCTTTTGTTTTCAAATGACCCAACATTACATTCACTGTATGCATGAACCAATTTACTACCATCTGTGAGGCGTGCAATTGAGAGTGGATTGATAGATGAACATTGTTAATTGTGCCAAAAGGCAGGATCGAACGGATGGATCATCACATAATAATAACAATAATAAATACATTGATGAAGACTAGGGTCATCATCAGCTGTGTGCTCGTTTCACTGAGCACAGCAGACGGACGAATGCTTAAAATTAGAAGCTTAGAGAGTGCGCGAAACAGTACGTTTGTAAAAGAGGACAGTAATAGGGTATGTGCCGAAGACGATGCACGGAACATATCGAGAACAGACGGTGTAAACATGTTACCGACAGAAGATTAAATCTGGTTTAAGGACACTTTCTGTGGATGATACATTAGTAGTTTTTGTATCGATAATGTCAATTGATACAATTCACTTCAACTTTATACTATAGTTCAGTTATCGAAACTGTTCGGAGGAAGATTTGCATAAGACATTGTCTATAACTGTGATTTTAGTTTAATCATAGTGAGTGATTTAAGAAAGCTGAAAGCAATTCTGCTCACGACAGATGAGTGTAATTCGTACAAGAACTGAATGAATGGTGAAATACGGCACTTTTCTAGAGCAAGATCGCAGAAGAGTTCTAAATGGAAACAAAAGAATTGAAAACGATGAGGAAAACACCAAAATTGATGAAAATCAAATAATAGAGTACAGTGTAGATTGTTGGCAGTCGCAAAAAAAANAAAAAAAACATAAAAATAACGATTCATTTGTAAAAACAATCCAATTAATTTCACAGTACAGTTCTACACACACGATGAACGAACACGTGATAAGCCGAGAGTGCAACAATTAATAAGAAATCAAGAAACGACTTTTGAAGAAAACAGATGATTTGATGAAGAACAAGGAGAAGAAAAAGAAGAAGAGAAGGCAAACGACTCACCTTTAAGTCTTGATGATTTGCCGCAAAATTTACACACGTACGGTTTGAGGGCCGTGTGAACGGAACGATGTTCCGCGAGATTCGACCGAAATCGGAACGCCTTACCGCAAATCTCACAAATGAATGCCTTATCGTTATGAAACATCTGATGATGCTGTTGAAGGAGTTTTTGCGATGGAAACGATTTCGAACAAAGATTACAATTGTTACTGGATGAAGTATTGATAATGAGCTGGACTGACGGAATGCTGTCAACAGCCGAAGATTTAGAGGTGTCAGTTTCAGTTACTGTAACAGTTTCAGAATTAGGATCAGCAGCAATAGAAGTGGCGTCGGCACGTTTCGAAAGAGCTGCGTTAACACTGCTGTGGGCTGTCGATTCAGATCTTGCAGCACCAGCACTCATGTGTTGTAGATGACGATGAGGAGGAGGCGGCGTGCGTCACTTGGGCGGTCTATCCGTCTATCGCTCGATCGCTGATTATTGTCCACCCTTGCGCAAAGATACAGGAGATACACTATCTGAAGAATAAATCAAACTGAACAGACGAACGAATATCTGTTTAGACGGAGCACCAAACGGATGGGATGGGATGAATGGTCAACAGAACTGTTATAGTCTATTGATAAGATGTTTTGTAATATTGAGGATCAGATGAGGTTATGTCACGTCACATATTAGTGTATTGCACAACACATGTTACGAGTAAAGGTCTGATGATACAAAAATAGTCGTGATCTGAAAGCGAACCGTACGCGAACAAAACCTAGACAACAGTAAGGCTCAAGCCGTTGAGCCTAATATTAATGGTGGTGGGATGGATGGGTCGTATTAGAACTGCTAGTGGGAATAGTAAGTAACTATATAGTCAGTGAGGTGTGGCTGAGATGAGCGGCGAGCTGGATGCATAACAAGAATTTGCTCGTATGCTTTTGCCTGTGCATTCATTTGCCTGTGCTTATGCTTGTGCTTCTGGTTACGCTAGTCCCAGATAGGCGATGTTGATTACGAATAAGCGAGATACGAGAGTGACATACACATAGCGGGTGGACAATTGTATAGTACTTGTGGATGTGGATGCATGGGTGCATGTGCAATAGGAAACGGTTGGTTGTATGTTACGGTGATGGTTGTTGGTTGTATGAAATGCATGTGTGGATAGATACGTACGTATGTCTGTATGGCTTTTACTTTGCTGGTGTTGATGATAAGGCTTAAGCTTGTTCGATTCGTTTGAGCTTGCTTCGATTCTGCATCGTAACATCTTGTTTCTTTATTCCACACAGCACCACGCCTCCTATTTTATATCTTTTATTGAATCGCTCCTCAATCTATAACCATACCAAAATCAATACCGACTCCGGTACTTGCCATCGGGCACGCCTCTCCCTCTCTCACATTTTCCTCCTCTCGGTTCCACACACTTGTCTCGATTCCATACTTCATATCCGCACAATACATCCATCCCATCACATACTCAAATATTAAATATTCACAATCAAATGAATACAATCGAAATCTTTTCTCACTTCGGTGCGTTTCACTGTTATTCCTCAGCATTTTGTTGTATATTCGAAGAGTATAAAACGAATTCAACAATCGCATTGCATTGTTTCAAATAATCTTCAACACTGCGCACAATTACGTCAAACATTTATGAATACATCCATAGTAGCTGTTGAGTTTCTGAAGCGGAAATAAGTGATTGAATCTGGTCGATTCACAAAGCTGAACAATAGATTTTGTATCGTTTCCAGTGTTATTACGATAAATATCAGTACAATAGTATGAAATAAGACCGGAACTTGGCTTGTGTTGTAACGTTGTTGTAACGAATAACAGCCAACAAGTCGAGTTAGTTGCAGCCAAGGCAGCGCTCTTTTGCTTTCAAATGATCAAATAACCCTTATTATTGACTCAAGGTAATGCTCGAACTATACACATTTTGTGCTTTACAGTGAGGATGCATTCGACGGTCAGTCACATTCATCTGTGCCATCCTATTACAACCAACAGCAGCAGATTTGATTATCCTCCTCATCAACAACCCCTCTTTTCCTGGGCTTAATTCTAACTGTTGATGAGACAGACTCTCACAAAACAACACAGCTGACACATACACACGCAAACGATTTAAATGCATACATATTCATAAAATTTACGATCATCAAAACAACTTCGCTCGATCTTGCCTTCAGGCATATTGTTTATGCGAACAAAACAGTGATACAAAGATATTTTATCCGATAACAGACACNACACTATCATTAGCGTACACATTCTGTTAGTCAACAAGCAACACATCACTGATAGCAGCAGCATTTCAGCCAGCATGTGCACGTTACTCTGAACGTTTCGAGAACAAGGGATTATTTCATTCTTGCCAACATCGATAGTTTATTCAATTTGCTCATCACCGCTACTGTCAACGAAACAACCAATCAACACAACTATATCCATCCAAATACAAAATTTCATCGCGCAGCGTTCCAGTGCTGTGCATTCAATCGTCTCTATGCAATGCCTAAACATACACACATAGACGACGCATAAGCAATTTGCTTGCGGTAGTGCTGTACGATACCGTATGATTTCATTGGTAAATCATGACGAACAATCCGAAATTTTAGCATCATTCTGCTCGTTGCGTGTTTAAAAAACCACTAGTATAAGAATTTTCGAAGAGATGCTCATAGAAAATTTAGCTGAAGATATTAGCAATGTACATTATCTTCATTTTCTTCTTTGCCTCATTCATAAGATATTTCATCAGCAAATGATTGTTAGTGAATTTAACATGGAGAATACCTCAACAGACAGATGCATTACAAGCTATCGGGATAAAGTGTTGATTTGTTGCGAGAAATGCGCTCAATTTGGTTTACATCTATGCATGTTAAGGGCGTTCGTTTTATCGAGACAATGAATATAGGAAAGATATATTGGGTAAAAATTTGTAGCAAAACAGTAAAAGAACGCTTGTTGTTGCATAATGATAGGGTGGATTCGACTGAACACATATCATGAGGTGTTGATGAAAGCAGTGAATTGGCTGAATGATAATCATCTCAGTTCTGGTGAGTGCACGACATAAAATTTGAAACGATTGGTACACATGGTTGAAATAATCAACTTAGAGCAACATAACGATACGGTTGCTTTCGCATTTCGATACTTTACAACAAAAGTGAATATATGTCAGTTAGTCAATAATACACGAAACGATTTTCGTTTTGGATCGCTAAAATTGACAGGTTTATTCGGTTGATCTGATCGTTGGTGTTGTACAGTATGCAATGCCATTAGTGCAAATGTTTTTAGGGATGAAGAACGTGAATGATAAGTACAAAAGAGTGGTTTAATCCACCTGATGTGCGAGGCACGCGCTTATCTTCATAACTCTACAAATCATTTCGTTTCTCCACCTCAACCATGCTAGAATATTTTTCAGTTGAATGAACACGTTGAATGATGGAATGTGAAATATTCGAATATCACAGCTTGTCGGTTGCGCTGATATATCAAGGATTGGTTTGCAATTAGAAATAAGTACGAAATGAAATGCAAAACGAATTACCGTCGAACGGTTTTTCAACGTTTTGTGAAATGATTTATGAAATGAGAAACTAAACGAGATATTTGTATTGTTTCAACGTTTATGAGAAGAGATCCATCGCTTCGATACATTTTTTTTATTCACTTCTCAAAATCCTGTTCGTACAAATCATGTACTTCCTTCTTCTAATCTCCTCCATCGCTTATCTTCCCAATCATGATTGTCACCATGCTCACTCTTTCTTAATGAAGGAACTAATCAGTCGGATAATTTTCCATTTTTGTTTTTGATTTTTTTTTGTGAATTATGAAGAAATTATGAAGTACTTGTTAGAACAAGCGTGCACACTTTTGCATTAGTTTCATTTTGGGTCTTCTATAGTATGCAGTGCGTAAGGAATGAATGAATGAAAACATCATTTTCGTAGTAGTAACATCGGCGAGAAGCCAGCCACTCAAAGATTTATTTCATTTGATGGGTTTCGAAGCAGCGTCATTTCTAACGAAGCAATAACCACGGCAGCAATGGCTTGGATTACGCTGAAATTAGACTACTACAATAAAAGTATGAATGTGCATAAAACAGTGCGGGTGTACATCCTGCTTTAAACTTTTACAGACACGAACGAGTTGCTGCTGTTAAACCGAAGAAATTGTTCGTTGTTGCTATCAGATTTCGTAACTGATCCAAGTGAATAATCAATTCGACAAATGTGCTGTGTGTGTGTGTAATAGCGATATTGCATAAAGAAATGTTGTGTTACTGTTCGGTTGATTGTACTGCCTTGGAACAGACACCTTCATGTCAAGCAAACAATTGTTCGTGCTGTTGATTTTGTACAGTACAAAAAATATCGATCACAGCATTGTACAGTACAGATTTTAAAAAATTCCGCTCTCCAAAAACAATCGCCAGCAGACCGAACATGAGACATTTATTGATTTAAGAATATCAGTGCACTTCAAATGTATTTTGTAGTGAAGAAAGCCAGCCAAAAAATTTTGTCGCAATGTGGAATTTTTACGATAGATTTTGTCGTTTTTNAAAGTTCTTTAGTGATAGAAATGAATGGTACAAGCGGCGTAGAATGCTTTCAAATTTACTTTGTAGCATCAACTGCTCACTCAATTACAGACAATACACGCAACTACTGAAAGACCATAAACGAGGTGTTGTTTCGATACTCAATCGAGTGTGATGCGTTGAGGTTGGTTTATGTGCGTATTTTGTAGGTTGCATGTGTACGAATGGATGAGAATATGGTTCATTCGAAAACAGCGCATTCAATTGCACAAGTGATATCGAACAATCGTAAACAAAAGCCTAACATCGAAGTTAAGCCATCTCCCAGAGGGGCAAAACGCTTATTCGAATACCAAAACAGCAATTGTTCGGCTTATACTAATAATCATATGTCTGCTTGAATGCAATTTGTTTTCGCTGAACAAATTTTGAGGCGTACATAAAATCCAAACTGTCTATTCTGTAGTACATCACTCATTAATGAACGACCACTTAATCCATCAATAAAACTAAGGAATCAGATGAACGAATTTGTAGTGAACAAAATTAGCGATATCATTGTCAGTATTAAAATCTCAGCAAGAGGAAACGAGGTTTCCATATCCATGATAACTGATGCTACGATGTAGATGAATTGTAAATTTTGACTTATCGTTAAACAAAATCAAAGTACCCATCAGTGATAATGAAAGAAAATAAGGCAGTCGCAACAAACGTGGGTTGGGAAGTGGGAGATTGTTGTTGCTGTTAGCCTGAACTAATCAATGTACGGTTCGTTATAACGCAACCGTCACTTATGCATAAACATATAGACTCACAAAAGTTTCATGTATTAGCAATGGTCGGAATGAGTTATAAATTTAGACTGAAGCAGTATCATCGGTGGATATTAGAAAGCTCGTCACGCTGAAATAAAATGAATCATTAGAAAACGATCCACTGAAAGTCATAAATAATGAAAGTTGATTGATTTGAATTAATGATGAGTTGAGAAGTGAATACATGCCCTCAGCATTGCAGTCATTGGAATAAAAAGTGAATTAAGCTTCTCAGAAGTGAATAGTGCTCGAGTTATCCGTCTGAGCCCATTACATCAAACCGAATATAGCGATTTGGCTTATGATGAAACAACTTGACGATACGCTTACAAAAAGTACAAAAACACCAGCAAACATTAGATAATGACTAGAGCTGTAAGGTCACTACAGTTGTTACAACAGATAACTGATGCATAAACGGTTTGATACCACAAAAATTGTTATTTTCGGTATCAACCCACTCATGTACGTGTACGTGTATGTTCATACTAATTATCTAATAAAGCATCATCACTATTGTACATATTTCTGTATACGTGTGTATGTTGTATAGTTTCAGCAATTCACTACATTAGATAGAGGTGATAATGTTTGCTGTTGTGACCCAACTGATAACACTCATATGCCATGCAGATAGAATTTATGTTCTGATCAAATGATGTGGCGCGAGAAGGAACGATTGATCGCTGATGTGTTAGTTGTTATTCCACTCACTTTTTTTCATTCAAAACGATTGTCTTCTAGTTCGCTGCACGTTTTTTTCTTACATCATTCTTGATCAGTGGGGCACATGTTCATTGAATGATTTGAAGGTGTGTCCCAGATATAATCATTATCAAGATCAGTCTTTAGACCATTCTAAGATCATTCTCTTTAAACCGAACAAGTTTTGCCTCAAAATTCGATCGAGACTCATGGAACTCATGACCAAACCCATAGTTATTGAAGTCGTCAAACGAGTGGTAATGAACAATTTCAGAAACCAACAATACGGCGCAACGAACAACAATGTGGATGAATTTCACTGTCACTATGACAAGATCAATGCGCCATCATCAAATAAACGTTCCAAACGCGTTCTGTGGCTATCGCTGGCGGTTTGTCTTGGCTTCATGATCTGTGAAATCGTCGGCGGTCTCCTAGCACAGTCATTGGCTATAATCACAGATGCAGCACACCTGGTATAAATTAAAACAGATCGCTCTTTCACTACGTAATTGTCTCGAAATGACGTCGGTCGATAACTGCAAAAAATGTGTACAATTGTGCCACAAAATCACAATTCAATAACCGCTAAATGCATGAACGTTGTGTCCGTTAATTGCCAGGGAAACTGAAAAATACGCTGCGCAATCGGAAGAGAATCGTATTCTGTAACAAAAGAAATTCGTCGACTGATGGATGTGAAATACATGCATAATACAACATTTGCATGATCTTTTGAGCTCAAACGGAAGAATCCCACAAAATCGAAGTTTTTGTTCATTGCCTTGTGACAACTCGAAGTGTTAACTAGAAAACGCTTTAAGCGCCATAAATTAAACGACTTCAGCTATACACAGCATGTGCACATCGAATTGTTTCTTGTTGCAAATTCATTCCGTCTACCGCACACCAACGCATTCATTATGGTCATCTATATTGAAGTATTCGCAAAAAGATCAAGTAGAATAACAAGCTATGATATCAGTACCACATATAATTTCATCTCAATCATTACAAAACATGAGATACAGCATCCATTAAACATCCTTCTCCAACGATTCATAAAACTGAACGCCATCATTCCAAACGGTTCTTTTTTACGGGAAATGTTCAGTAAATGAAGTGTAAGTATTTCAGCTGACTGATTTTGCGAGCATGTTGATCTCTTTATTCGCTCTTTACATAGCTGAACGGCCGGCGTCTCAACGGATGAGTTTTGGATGGTATCGTGCCGGTCAGTTTATTTTGTCTAGTTAGACGTTGCTGATTTCATATCATATTAACAACAAGCAAGACGATGTAAATTGACGTCAACATGCTTGAACCACTCTTGATATTTAAATTATCTCTTTTTTGAGTTTTCCGGGATTTCATCTGGTGTGTAAGTAAGATATTGAGCATAATTCAGCCGTTTCCGATGAAAAAAAAAAACTAGGAATTGATGCGATGTTCAGTCATGTTGCACTTCAAAGTGTTATGAGTTCGAGATTTGATCGATGTTCAGTGTTCTGTGTGCAAACTGAATCAAGAAAGAAATCTCATCATGTAGGAAACACCAAAATGGAATTTCCTTTGACAATGAGAATCAAACGTGAATGCTGAATTTTTTTTTTGTAAATTTGCCCACAATACTCTTGTTGGAATTGGTTGTTAAGGAATGCATGTGAATGTTACCATACAAGAAATGGTTCATCGATGTCCTGAAAAATGACAGAGTTCCTGTGATGAATAGCGTGAACGACCGCAATAACAGAGTTGGGTGGCAGGTCACCGCATTGCGGTGGATCCCAAAAATCGGTAGTTTCCGATCACAACCGAAAAGGACTGTTCAGTCGGCGGCCTCGGCAAGCCGAGTTTCGATTATGACCGGTTGAAAGCAACCGATACTCAAACCTTACACCACAAAAAATCTTGTGCTTCCCAACACCACACAGTATTATGTTTCAAGCTAGAGGCTCTCCTACATTGGCAATACTATTGATCTTTTGTATATCTCATGGAATGACCATTTCAGAGGTGATGGGAGCATTCCTGTCAGTGTTCATGATTTGGATAATAACAGGCATTCTCGTTTACTTGGCCATATATCGCATCATTCAAGGCAACTACGATATCGATGCGCCGATCATGGCAATCACTGCCGGCCTCGGAGTTGTCGTGAACATTGTGTGAGTGAGTGAGTATGTCAAGCACTCCTGGGATCNATCTGTGCAAACAAAAATCCCATTTTCACTTCATTATCCATAAATTTTCTGATTTCATTACGCTCACTGCTCGATTATCTAAATTCAGCATCAACCACATTCCCTCACTATAGTTTTATGATTGTGCTATAAATCAAATTCCAGAATGGGTATTCTGCTATATTTCGGTGGTCATACACATTCACATGGTGGTGCCCATCATGCTCATTTGAATGGGAATGCACAACATGAGCACTCATCTGAACCCAGAAAACACACGAATATCAATGTTCGCGCTGCAATGATACACGTTCTTGGCGACCTCATTCAAAGCGTGGGTGTGCTCATTGCAGCACTTCTCATATTTTACAATGTAATTCTCATTTGCATTAATCAAGAAGCATCCTAATCATGATTATTTCATATCGTTCTGCTTTGCGTTTCATTCTACGGTGTCAGTTTTGTGTTTTTGAGCGATGGTTACATTGAAGGGAAACTGGTCAATAATCGATCCGATTTGCACGTTGCTCTTTTCGGTTATTGTTGTTTGTACGACATTCTTCATCGTTCGAGATGCTCTCGTTGTTCTTCTTGAAGGTTTGTTCCTTTATGTTCCATTCGACAGCTTTTAGCAAACGCAATGCTCCGAAATAGACCAACCGTGCTTGTTGTCACACAAACTTATCCACTGCTCCAGTTTTTGATCGATTGCAATTTCATATACTGTTTTATTTGACAATTTCAACTGGTTTCTGCGAACTGATTTAAATTTCCCAAAAATCTTATATCCTGTCAGTTGAGAGTGAAAAAAA